TCCTAGTGGCGCAGATCTTCCTCATCGGCACGGAGTTGTAGAGGGCGTTGGCGTTGTGGTCGTTGCAGTCCTGGTTCGCCTCGTTTTGGGTGACGTGTCCTTTTCGGGCCGTTTCTTCGCCTTGCCTTTGCCATTGTTGTTCTTGTAATTGCCCTTTCTGGCCTTGGGCGTCGGAATCGCGGTCGTTCTTCGCGGCGTTTCCATTACCACTGCTGCCGCTGCCATTCCCATTGTAGGTCTGGTTCCAATACCTGTCAGGGTGGTCGTTCGCCCACTGGTCCGACCAGTTGTAGATCCGTCAACGCTCGAGGCCTCCTCCTATCGCGGGCGGGTGTAATAGAACGTGGTGTACCTCCTCTGCTTCGTGGGCGGTTCGGTGGTGGCACGGTTCCCGATCCACTCGCGGCCCTCCCCCATGACGTCGCCATTGTTGGAACGCGAGGTGATTGTTGAGCGTTGTGGCGCGTTGCAAGAAATCGTCGAGCTGAGTCAAACTGGTAGTTGATGTCCTGGTCGAAAAGTTCGCGTGCTGCGGCAACTCGGACTACCACTCGTGTTTGAGCCAATTGTTCGCGTAGCCGACGATGCCAACCTGGGTTGGTCGACGAAATCGCCGTGTCCAGGAGAAAGAAGCAATCGAAACGGAATGTAAACGTATGGTTTGGGACAGAACCTGGAATCAGAGGCAAAATTGTTTTCGGTCGGGGTTGGCCCCCATTGGGCTGGCACGCTGCCGCGGACGTCGGGCAATCCGTGGCTCCCCTCCTCTTCACCCCTCTCTCCTTTTCCTCCTCCTCCTCCTCCTCCTCCTCCTCCTCCTCCTCCTCCCCCTCCTCCTCCCCCTCCTCCTCCTCCTCCTCCTCCTCCTCCTCCCCCTCCTCCTCCTCCTCCCCCCCCTACTTGAGCCAGCCGTCGTCCCGAAAACGGCGAGGGGTCGCCTCGGTCGCGGCCCGCGGCCGCGCCGCGGCCGTGGGGCTCCTCGGGAGGTCCTCGGCCGTCGCGGCGCGCGGCTGGGCCGCCCCGGCGGTGGGCCGCAGCTCGAAGCGCGCCCACCAGGTGGCGAAGCGCTCGAAGGGCACGGCGGCCTGGCGCCGAGGGGGGGGAGCTCGCTTTCTGAGCTGCCCCGATGCGCAACACGCAACGCGTAGCGTATTGAGACGGAGCTCAACACGCAGGCTGAAGACGCAGGTCCGACGCGATGCACTCGCCAAAGCGTGGTCTGGTACGCGGAGCCACCACGCAACGTGTTGGCACGGACGTCTTGAACGCGGGGCGTATTGCGTTTCAAAACGGGCGTATCGAGGCAACTGATCTCGTTTTATGTTGCTCCCATCGTTTTTGGACCAAATCCCCAAGAGCATGTCGAGCTCCCAGAAAACTGCCGAAACAGTGTCTAACGAGCATCGCCTCCCAGAGCCCGACACGTGAAAACACTCCAGATTGGTTATATTCTTGGTACTCGAAATTATTTCTGGTGATCAGGCTAAACTAGGTTGGAACATCATAAAACTCGTTTTCTGTGGACGCCCGAGATGGGTACGGGAAAAGATGGGCACGATGCGGCATCGTACCTGCATTTTCCCCGTTCCCCCTTTTTGCCCGTACCCATTCCGGACAACGACCGCCTCGGATTTGACGGCATTGGTTGTTGCGGATCGTCGATACCCAACAACCAACGTTGTCCAGCACCGACAGCGGCCGCTGTTGGGCAAGCGGCCTTCTTTCTCAACTGGACACCGTCCGCGGCAACGCCGATAGCGAGTCCTGCTAAAAATGAAAATGAAACGCGGCTAGTCTTCGCACTCCAGATATCAGAAGAAAGTGTGCGGGGGTCATATCCCTCCCAGACGAGCAATTTCAGACTTCCCCAGACCAGCCATGAGAGGGCGGCCTCATGTTCAGACCCCTGCAAATGTGACCCCCCCACCTCATTATGCCTTCACCTCGCACATGCTGCTGCCGTTAACGTTGATGTACCCACCCAAGTGGGCAAGACTCAAGATGGCCCTCCCTGAGATCCTCTCCTCAACATCTTTGGTGCCTCTAATAATAGCTACATGTACAAGCGCATCCTGTGTCTCAACGTGGTGCGCGTACCCAGCTTCTAGAAGATACGGGCCCGATCTTCGATTGCCCAGGTGGTCGAGGCTCGAGGCCTCGCGAGCTGTACCAGTCGGCGCGGTCAAGGCACGGACGAAGTCGTCAGTGCGCCTCCCGAGAACACGGCAGCTCCACCGCTGTGCGCAGCTCGGAATGCTCGGAGCGAGAAACCGCGAGCCCTGCTCAAAATGAGCAGGAGATGGTGTCAGTCTTCGTGCCAATTCCTTCTGTACCAATTTCGATCGTACCGATTCGCCGCAGCTCCACCGTTGTGCGTAGCTCGGAACCTCGGCGTGAGAAACCGCGCGTCCTGCCTTTCAAATGAGAAGAACATGCTGCTAGTCTTCGTGCCATGTTTTCCGTACCCATGTCGATCGTACCGATTCACCACAACTCCACCGTTGTCGCTGTGTGTAGCTCGGAACCTCGGCGTGATAAACCGCGAGCCCTGCTTTCAAGCTTCAGAAACAACAGAAAGAGCAGGAGATGCTCGTACAGACCACCAAGGTCGGGCGCTGGCAGAACTGGGTTTAATGGGACCTGGTTTAGTGATGTGTACTGGGGGACGCCCCCCCCGCCCGGTTCCACTGAACGGAAGTGCCGTCACTCGAAAGAACACCAGCTACGGCAGACCTGGTTCAGTGCTTCTGGCAAATTTAGGGGGCTCCGGGGTCCTACTAATAGCTGGGTTCACTTACCTGGGGTCCTGGCTATACCCGACAAGGGTTCTTAGAACAATCGTGGATGGGCCTACAGGCAAGCCTAGACGCTTCGCCACTGCTTGACTGCAACCGCTGCAAAAAAACAGGGCGACAGTCTTGCGCCCAACGGTTCGGGCCGCCCCCCTTCGGGGTGCCCAAGCTCCCGGAAGGAACGCCCCGCACATCGCTGCACTCGGCAGCCGGCATGTGGTGCCGCGGGCCCGTGTCGTGACGACCTGCGCGTTGGCTCCTGACACCGCGGGGATCGCTCAGCGCTGAACGATCGGCAGTTTCGGCAGTTTCCGATTCTGGCAGCGTCCAACGTGGACCGCCAGCAGCAGGGTCTCCTCCTCCTCATCTAGAGGCCTCCTAGATGGGATCGGAGTGGATGGGGTCGAAGGATCGCGCCGCTGTATCGGCGATGCATCGGCGATGCATCGGCGACGTGGCGGGATCCTCCGACCCCATCTACTCGGACCCCATCAAGGGGGCCTAGATCCTCTCCTCCTCCTCCTCCTCCTCCTCCTCCTCCTCCTCCTCCTCCTCCTCCTCCTCCTCCTCCTCCTCCTCCTGCCTCCCCGCCGCCCGCTGGTGGAAACGGCGCGAACCTTCCAGCAAGTGAGGCGCCGCCTCTTGCGACAAGGTGCGCGCGCAGAGCAGGCAAGCGGCCAGGGCAGGCGCGCGGTTGCGTGCAGGGGGCCGGTCGAGACAAGGGCGCGGCCCTCCCTTGTGGGTGCGTGTGTGCGTGCGTGTGTGCGTGCGCGCGTGCGTGCGAATGTGCGCGTGTGCGCGTGTGCGCGAGTGCGCGTGTGCGTGTGTGCGTGTGTGCGTGTGTGCGCGTGTGCGCGTGCGCGTGTGCGCGTGTGCGAGTGTGCGCGTGTGCGCGTGTGCGCGTGTGCGCGTGTGCGCGTGTGCGCGTGCGCGCTTGTGCGCGTGCTGCGCGTGTGCGCGTGCGCGCGTGTGTGGGCGTGTGGGTGCGTGGGTGTGTGGCTGTGTGGGTGTGTGGCTGTGTGGGTGTGGGTGTGTGGGTGTGGGTGGTCTCCCGTGCTGGCTCCCGCTTTGGAATCCTGGAGGCTCCTCGCCTCCACGGCTGGACCCGCTCCGGAAAACGAGTCGGGGCGAACCCCGGTGGAGACCGGGACCAGTTTTGAGCTGGCTTGCGCCGAGCGGGAGACCCGCCGTGGTCGCCAATCGCCCTCCTCCAATCCATTTTGGACGCCCGAAAATGGGCACGGAAAGAATGGGCACAACGCCCAACAACAAATGGTGTCCCAAACCAGCAGCGGCCGCTGCTGGGCAGGAGGCCTCCTGTCTCAAGTGGACCCAGGCCGCGGCGGCGCGGACAGCGAGTCCTGTTCAAGGTGAACGGGAACTGCTGTTGGGCACTGTACTCATTCATTCCGCACCCATTTCTCGGCTACACGCAAGAGTGACCCTGGGTAAGAGTGACCTTTGGTGCGCGGCTTTCTGGGGGGCCGCAGGGTGACCAAACACAGGCGCGCAAGACGCTACCAGCGCATCGATTTCGGCGATCGGGGAACCCCAATGTGCCCGCACCAAAGGTCACTCCGGCGAAGGGTCACTCTTACGTCTAGTCGAATTTCGTGCGTCCAGATCGCCCGTGCCTGCGACGAGGCTCCCTGGCGGCGAGAACGCGGGCGCCATGCGCGGCTCTTGGCCGCCCGCCCCTGTGTTTGCCTCGCCCGCCGGTGCCCGGGAGGAGGATGAACGGGCCGCGCGCCTGCTGCCGCAGAGTGCCGGGGGCACGCTGGGCACAGACCTCCTGGAGGTCCCTGCCAACTCGAGGGTACCCTTGTGTCCTGAGCTTCGCGACCCATGCCTTCGTACATTCCTGTGGCAGTGTGGCCCTCGGAAGGGTCTTGTGTCCCCTCGCGTGCCCTCTCCGATCAGCCCCGACCGTGCAAGGCAGATGCCGAGTGCCGGGGACACGCTGGACACAGACCTCTTGGATCTGGACCTCTTTTTGCGAGAGGGACCAGGGCTTTTGGGGGGCGCTGGACCTCCCCTTGGATCTTCCCTTGTTGCAAAAGGAAGCGAAAAGATCCCTCTCGCAAGAAGAAGTCCCTCTCGCAAAAAGAAGTCCATCTTGGATCCAAGATCCAAGGGTCCGGGACCTCCCCAAAATAATCAAACGCTGTCCAGAGGTCCGCGCGAGAATCTTGGATCTGGTGGGCCCACTTTTCATCACCACAGCCAACGGTAGGTCCTTGCGGTGCGAGGCACCAGCTGCGCGCAGCAAAGCACTGCCACAGGTCAGCCGCCCATGGCGAGCAGTGGTGGCCATGAGAGAAGTGTGGGACGGGGCAATACATCCACCGCCTGAAGACCCGACGTCCCTGGACCCTCGCGGGTGGTGGATGTGAATACAGTGGAGTCCAGTCCACAGGAAACCTTCCACAAGAAACCCAACCCTGTGACCCCAGGACGCTCATGGATTTGTGGTGTGAGAACGCCACGCTTCCCAAAGGAAACCATCGAAACCCAAGAGACCCACGGCACCCTGGAGGCCAGTAGGGTGTTTCTTGGCATGGGTCTCCACTGTACACATGGGTTGGGCCCCAGGGAGGCCGAACACATCCAGATCCACCGCAGGCTGACCAGGCGGTGGCCACGGACAAATCACCGCCTCGGACAAAGCGAGCGAGCCGAGCATCCAGAAGGAATTCTTGGGCAGACGAGCGCGCGGTTGGCAGCCCTTCGTGGAAAATAGGAAGAAAGCGCGCCGCTTCCTGCTTCACGGTCGTGGGGTCCTGGGGCGTTTCGTTCGGAGCTGCGCGGTCGCGACGTGATGCGGTGCTCTGCTCCACAGCCGGGCCTTAGCCTTGGTGTGCACGCAACCGCTCGGCAGCGCCTCGGGCAAGTGGCCCACACAATGGGCTGGCGCTGGCACCCGCCCCCTCCCTGCGCCCGCTCCTCGGCGCGGGGGGGGCGGTGCAGGCGGCGGCGCCCGGGGGACGGGGGACGTCGGCTCTCGGCGCTCACAGGGGGCAGCCGCGCGGCCCCTGCAAAAAATCCAGCCGTGCCTGCGCCATTGCTTGCGGCCGGCGGCGTCGGAAATCCTCCCCCTCATCGCCCCCCCCTCCTCCCCCTTCCCCGCAGAAGGAGAGAAAACTGCATAAGCACAAACTGTCGAAGGTCCGCGTGGACCTCATGGATCAGCGCCGGTACCCCCCACCCATGGCACGCGGGCGCCGCAGGCGCCGCCATACGAGCCCTTTACGGCGTGCGTGCTTTAGAGAGTTTCCTCTTCCAACCCCTTCTGCCCCTTCGGGGAGGGGTTTATCACTCTTCCCCCTATGACCGGCAGCCGGCCAGGACCAATGCGACACCCCCCTTCCTCGCTACAAAAGAATACGAAACACACCGTGGGGCAAAATCTTTGGTCCTGCTCGGCGGCCCCGCGAGCACTTTGCATTGCTTTGTAACAAGGACGGCGAAGGGGTCCTCAGACTGCTGGTCAAAAAACAATACAACATGCACTTCGCGGCTGTATCTGGATCGTGCGCGGCCTCCCCGCTATCACTGCCGACTGGCTTTTGACAAGGACGTGGGGGTGCTGGCATATTGCCTGCTGTCTGCAGGTCGACCAGACCGCCACGATTGTACATTGGTGTTCGACAAGGATGGTGGCGACGTGTTCCCCGATGTGTGCCGTCATGTGCGCGGGCGCACCTGGTACACTCCGCGCGTGCCCCAGACGTGGCGCACCTGGCCCGGCTGGACCATGCGGCACATGGCGCGCGTGGAGCACGTGGCGCATCTGGCGCACCAGGCGTGCCTGGCACGCTTGGGCCGCAGGGGTGCCTGGCGTGCCTGGCGCGCCTGGCACGCGTAGCGCACCTTGCCCCAGCGCGCATATGGGGTCTGCACTGGTTCCCAGTAGCTGCCCATCCTCAGACGACTGCTGCAAATGCTGAGGCTCGGGTGCTACGTATGTGTTGAGAGGGCGGGTGGGAGTGAAAGAGACACCTTGCGGGCGGGGAGGGTGTATTGATCACTGTTCCCAATTAATACACCCCCTCCCCCAGGCGACCGGCAGCCAGCCAGGGACAATGAGGACCACATGATCACACACACCCAACTATCCTTGCCAAAAAAACACTACGAAACACACGCTGGCTCCAAATTCGGAGCATGCGCAACCAACACGATGCGCCCCCCCCCCCCCCCCCTCGCACCATCCCTGTCAAAAACAATACAAAATACAGTTAGGGGAGTTTGGGGCAAAGTCTGGAGTCATGTTCGTGAGGCCCGCGAGCACTTTGTACTGTTTTTTGACAGGGACTGCGGGGGTGTCAGCATATAGCCTGCTCTGCGCAGGGCTACCATGGGCGACCATCCTTAAAAAAAAATGCAAAATGCCCCTCGCGGCTAAATCTGGATCATGCGCGGACACCCCGCGGACACCCCGCGATCACTGTCAAATGGTTGTTGACAGGGACGGCGGGGATGGTGGCGTATGGCCTGCTGCGCGCAGGCCCGTCAAACACAATGATGGGCATCGGTTTTCGACAAAGATGTTTGGGGCCGACATGTTTCCCGATGTGTGCTGTCACGTGCGCAGGCGCACCTGACACACTCTGCACGTGCCCCGAACGTGGCGCATCTGGCGCGGGTGGGGTATGCGACACACCTGGCGCACGCAGAGGCACGTGGCGCATCAGGCGCACCAGGCGTGCCTGGCACGCTCGGGCCCCAGAGGTGCCTGGCGTGAGTGGCGCGCCTGGCACTCATGGCGCACCTCGCCGCAGCGTCGCGCACATGGGCTCGGTTTTGGCTCCCATTCGCTGTCTATCCAAAGACAACCGCTGAACATGCTGAGGCTCGGGTGTTACTTATGTGTTGGGAGGGCGGGCGGGGGTGAGCCAGACGGCTTGCTATCTAGGAGGGTGTTTTGATCCCTCCCCCTACCCCCTACCCCTGGGTCTGGACGGGGGGGCGCGAAGTGTCAGAAGGTTGTTGGTCCCGGAGAGGAAGCCGAAATCATTGACACACCAAACTTTAGGACACAGGTTGGCCTCCTGAGGGGGAATCTAATTGGAGAGCTCCCCTCCGTTGATGGATCTCCTCCAAAATGGCCCCAAGATGGCTCCCGAGGCTCCTACGAGTGCCCCTCGATAGCCCCAAACAGTGCCCAGAAGGCCCCACGAGGCGCCCAAGAGGCCCCCAAAACACCCCCCAGAGGCCCCCAAGGTGCTCCCAAAGAGGCCCCAAGAGGCCCCTCAGAGGCTTCCTCGGCGAAAAGGCCAACATCACTGATCTGACCTAGGTTTTGGCCACATGTTGGCCTCCTGGGGGGGAACATAAGTGGGGAGTTGTCCTCCTTTGATCGGTTTCCTCCATCCAAGATGACCCCACAATGGTCCCCCGAGGCTCTCAAGGGTGCCCCAAGACAGCTCAAAAGGTGTCCAGGATGCCCCAGGAGGTCTACAACAGGCCGCCGAAATGCCCCCAACAGGCCCCCGAGAGACCCCTAAGGTGCCCCCCAAATGCTTCCAAGACTCCCCAAGAGGCATCGGCGAGGAAACCGAAACCAGTGATGTTACCAAGGTTTTGGACACATGTTGGCCTCCTGGGGACGGGGGGTGGGGGGGGTGGGCAAGGAGCCCCCCTCCTTTGATAGATCTCCTCCAACACGGCCCCAAGATGGCCCCCGAAGCTCCGAAGGTTACTCCAAGACGGCCCCGAGGGGCGACAAGGAGGCCCCAAAAGACCCCCAAGCGGCTCTCAAGGTGCTCCTCAAGAGGCCCCAAGAGGCTCCCCATAAGCACCCAACACGCCCCAGGAGGTCCCCGGGACTGCCAAGACTCCCACTGCAACCAAAGAGGACCCCACGCAGCTCAGGGAAGGAATCCGAAGAGACCCCGAGAGGCCCCCAAGAGGCTTCTGGCCTTCTATTCGTCCTCTCCGTTTCCTCCTCCACCTCCTCCTCCCCTTCCTCTTCCTCCTCCTCCTCATCCGCATGTTCCTCCTCCTCCTCTTCCTCCTTCTCCTCATCCTCCTCCACCTCCTGCTCCTCCGATTCCTCCCCCAACATCCCCCCCATTTGGAGCAAGACGCCTTTTATTCCACAGCATGCCCCCCCCCACCCCCACGTCCCTGATTAGGGCAACTCGTCTGAGAATCGTTTCTAGACGGACGGGCGGGGCTACTTTTTTGTTCGCGAGCGCAAACGGAAACGCCGCGCGCCGTCCAAAACTACAGCTAACTGGCAGCAACCTAAATTGCACACGAGAGAGAGGAGAAGAAGGACAACAAAAGAAGGCGGGTGGGGGTATTTTTTGATCGCGAGCGACGCAGGCAGCTGCGCGCCGTCAAGGGAGTCAGACGACAAGCCCACCCAACAGGACAGGCGGACAAAAAGGGCCATAACGGTGGCAAGAACTACGCAGCGGATGAGAAACGAACGAGAGCACACAGAGGGCGAGGCGACGAAGAGCAAGGGGGCGAAGGAGCAAGGACAAGCGAAAACGAGGGCGCACAGGAAGAAGGATAACGAGAGGCGAAAAGAGACGCAGCGAAGAAGACGGGCGCGCCGGGGATCAGGCTCAGGCGTCATCGAGGACGAAACTCTTTGCCGAGGAGCTGGGACTTGAAGTGAGCGACGTGTCAGCCGTGTCGCAAATGGGGGGTAGCGAAATTGCCACTGACGCAGACCAGAAGCGCGAGCGACGTCCAATCCAGCAGGCCATCTCCAGGGCCATAAGACAAATCCACATGGCTGGCGCCGTCCAGGAGCCACCAAGGGCAGGGGCACGCCCCAAGCGCGACGAGGAGAAGAGCCGGAAGGGTAGCCCAGAGGCGGCAGTGACATACCAGACCAGCGGGGGGGGATGGCCGTCAACCTGCCGCGAATGCGACCAACGGCGGGGGGGCCGCCGCCTGAAGCCAACAGCCCGATGAGGGCCAGCGCGGTGACGCCAGGAACTAGTTCCTGTGGGGGGGGGCACGACGCCTGGGACATGCGTGCGCTCTGGTAGGGCGCAGCTGACAGCCGCAGAAGGTTGTGAAAGGTTCCGCCTGAGACATATTGCTGCGCTGGCATTGGACAGCCTGGGTCACCCCGCAGCCCAGTAAGAACCCAAACGTCAGCCGCAGGACGGAGGGGGGTAACTCCACCTGCGGTGCTGGTTCGCTGGTAGGGTGCACCTGACAGCCGCAGCAAGATGGGAATTGTTGTGGTAGGGAGCAGCTGACCGCCGCAGAAAGATTGAGTAGGGTTCGCCTGAGACATTGCTGCGCTGGCATAGGGCACAGCCACCGCCCTGGCCCATTGGAATCCGAACGTCAGCCGCAGGATGAAGGGGGGTCACTCCACCTGCGGTACCGATTCGCTGGTGGGGTGCAGCTGACAGCCGCAGAAGGATGGGAACTGTACTGGTAGGGTGCAGCTGACAGCCGCAGGAAGGTTGAGTAGGGTACGCCAGAGACAATTGCTGCGCTGGCATTGGGAACAGTCGCCACGCTGCCCAATCCAGATAAAACCGGCAGCCGCTGGACGGAGGGGGGTCACTCCGCCTGCGTTGTGCCGAATCTCTGGTAGAGTGCAGCTGACAGCCACAAAAAAAATGGAGGTGCTCTGGTAGGGCGCAGCTGATAGCCGCAGGAAGATTGAGAAGGGTCTGCCTGAGACATTGCTGCGCTGGCACTGGGCACAGCCACCGCACTGGTCAATTGGATCCAACCGTCGGCCGCAGGCCGGAGGGGGGGGACTCCGCATGCAATGTGCCGAGCCTCTGGTGAAGTGCAACAGACAGACGGGGAAGCAGGCGGGGGGGAGCTTTGGGCTGCCCACGAACGGGGACGGGGAGGGTGGGGATCACACCTCCATATTAGCCGGCCGATGTGAGTCGACTGCTTCTCTCCAATGGGTGCGCCTTCCGCCGTAGTCCACACGCAGGCCCGCGAACTGCGAATCGACGTCCTCGGATAACCACCTTACCAGGTAGTACAGCCTTCCGCGGAGGCTCCACCGTAACTGCGAACATATCTGGAACTTCAATGAGAGAGCACACACTCTGTTGTATTGCAGCGTCGATGTGTGTCCAAGGGGTACTAGATCGTCCCACGTGGTAAAGATCTTCTGGCGCTCTGCAACCTCCTGTTCGGCCTTCTTGGCCACAATCGGACGCTGCCCGCTCATCTTATGCCGCGTAGGCGCTTAGGGTACGGAAAGAAGCACACCTGCTGAACCACAAGAGCTAGACGGAAAAGGACAAGCACAGCAGGAAACGGGGGGAGAACGGAGACAACGCCAGGGGCAGAAAGCGGGTGCGGAGGCCCGTAGACGGCCAGGAGCGACGGGGCCTGGCGGACTGGTAGGGTGCAGCCAAAAGCTGCCGGAAAGGGGAACAACGCCTTCGCCTGAGACAAGGCAGGGCCGGTCCATTGGTGGGGTGTAGCTGAAAGCCCCGATAAGAATGGTATTGCTCTGGTAGGGTGCATCTAGCGGCCGCAGCAGGTGAGGAGGGTCCACCTGCGCTGACATTTGGGAAAGTCACCACGTTGCCCAGTACGGAACTGACCGTTAGCGACAGGACGGTGGGGGATCACTCCGCCTGCAGCAGTTGGCCTCTGGTAGGGTGCAGCTGACAGCCGCAGAAAGATTGGGGTGGGATCCGCCTGAGACATACTGCAGCACTGACATGGGACAGCAGACCTCAGCGACGCCCCCGCCGTGTTCAGGATCGGAGTTGGGCCCCCGATGTGTTCAAACCAGTGCGACACCTGAGTCTCCAGTAGCATGGCCGGAGCCCGGCCTGAGTGTTCATTATCGCGGAGAGAGGGGGGGGGCAGCCTGCCATCGAAGCACGGGTTGGCTGGTGGGGGTCCGAAACCCGCACAATCATATGCAGTGGTACAGCCTGAGATTGTCCAGTGTGTGGCGGATCCTCCGCAAGGCACTGCGAGCCGCACCCAGCGGGTCGCGCTGGCCTCGTTTCGTGAACCATCGCAGCGGAGCCGGCACCGCTCGGTAGGACTGACCAGGAGACACCAAAAGACGTGGGTGACGACGGCCCCTGTCTTACCGTCAACGGTGATGGAGCCGCGAGGTGTATGAGTGTAGGGCAGCGAGGAGCTGCAAAGTGATGCCGCGATGGCGCTAGGGCAGTACAGAGGGACGCGGAGAGGCCTGGTCCCTGGACGCCTAAGGCGGGCCGGGGAGGCGGCAGCCATCCAAGGGGGATGTGCCGCAGGGTGCCCTGGGGGGGGGGGACCTGGAGCCTGGGACGGGCCATGAGCCCCAGCCGGGCACGTCCGAGACGGTATTAGCACGTCCGTGGAGAGCGTGCGATGGTAGGCGGGCCCACCGCCGGGTAGCCGGGTAGCGGGTGGGGTTAGACAAAGCGCCTCGAAGTTCTGTTCATCGAGGTGACTGTCCTTCTTCTGGGTTGTCCTGTTAGTATGTTTCTTCGTCTTCTTATTCTTGTTTGATTGCTATTGCTATTGTTGTTATTTGTGTGATTATTTGCCTTCGTCCTCGACTCCTCCCCCTCCTTCCTGGGGAAGCCCCAAGGAGCACCGACCCCCCTGCTCCCCGGGCCTCTCCCCGCTCGCGCAGGGACCGACCGTCCCGGAATTCCTATAGTCATACCACGAACTGTTCTTAGAACCCCAATATGTTCTAAGAACAAAAACAATGTTCTTAGAACATACACCCGATGTGTTAAAACGAGACAGTCCCAGCCAGAACTGTTCTAAGAACATTTCGTGGGAGCCACAAAAGGTTCTTAGAGCACTGTTTGGCAGGGCCATCCGGCGAGCCAGGACGCCTCGCCACTGCTTGACCCGCGCATTCTGCCCAGGAGTCCCCTTGGGCGACGCCGGCCGTGGCGACGGGCGCCTCTCCGGCGAAGGCGACCCAAAAGCGGGCGCCACCGGGGGCAGGGGTATAGCGCGGCACGGGCAGCTCTGTCCGCCCCCATTGCTCCTCCTCCTCCTCCTCCTCCTCCTCCTCCTCCTCCTCCTCCTCCTCCTCCTCCTCCTCTTCCTCCTCCTCCTCCTCCTCCTCCTCCTCCTCCTCCTCCTCCTCCTCCTCCTCCTCCACCTCCCTCCTCCTATCCTCCTCCGCCTCCTCCTCCTCCTTCCCCTCCTCCTCATTTCCTCCTCCACCTCTTCCTCTCCTCCCCTCCTCCTCCTCCTCCTCCTCCTCCCCCTCCTCCTCCTCCCTCCTCCTCCTCCTCCTCCTCCTCCTCCTCCTCCCTCCTCCTCCGCCTCCTCCTCCTCCTCCTCCTCCTCCTCCTCCTCCTCCTCCCTCCACGTGTATCTACACGTCGTTCTACACGTCTCCCCCATGTACAGTCGGGCCGCTGAGAGAAGGAACGCCTAATAAGCGCCTCCGTGCCCCGGGAGGGCAAGAGGGACAGCACTGGAGGAGCCTCAGGAACATCGAGCCCCTTCCGTACCCAAACCGTTCCTTACTTCAGCGTCTTGACTGTCTCTGCACGTCGTTCATGTCTGGTCGTGGTCACTTCTAAGCGTGCTCGTTGCTACTTGTTCCTGGCCCCCTGGTGGCCAGGAAGAGGCCCAGGATAAAATAATTAAACATGAGAGGCGCTTGGCCCCCCAAATAATCAAAGAACTGCCGAAGAATTAGACATGCACAGCGTGCATGTGTACCTCGACACCGTTAAACAAATAACTGAAAACATATTCAGAAAATGCGGGGCAAAAGTCAAAACATAGTCCCCAGACGATGTTTTTACTATTTGGGAATATCCCTCCTGTAGCAGAGCAGGGCCGAATTAAGGGTACGAGAGCGAAGAGAAAACCGTCTTCTGAATAGTCCTCCGACGCCAGGATCTCTAAGGTCGAATCCCTTTCTAATGGCGCGCCAGGAGGGAAGCGAGAGTGAGAAGGCCTTCTCGGAAGGCGGCGGGGCTTCTCAGAAGGCCCCCCGCCTTCTGATACAGATTCTGTGTCTTCGGGGGACGGCTCAGAAAACTTCTCAGGAGGCCGCAGGGCTCCCGAGCCTTCTGGGGAGGCCCGCCCCACCTCACTTCCCTCCCCCCCCCCAGGCTCGCCGCCGACCTTTAGCCTTTGGTTCATGTCGCGGCCTGATTATGCGAGATCGCCTTGTTCTGCCTCATCTGTCGGGGGCGCGCAAACATGGATCAGCGATCCATGGATTTGGCGCGCGGTCGCCAGATCCATGGATCGGAGGAGGGGCCCGCCCCAAACTGCGGCCGGTGCCGCTTCCTTCGGCGGCGGAAAGACGCGACTTCCCACGGAAGCGGGGTCCGTCGCTGATCCACGCCCCCCTTGATCCACGGCTGCGGTCGCCTGCATCTGGCCCTCCCCCTGCTTCCCTCCGCGCCCCTCCCTCCGACCCCCCCCTCGTCGTGGCGCGGGCCGCCCCCGTGCAGCCCATGGGGGCTCCGCGCCCCGCGCCGCCGGGGCGCCGGGGCGCGGCCGCCTGGCCTGGGGCTCACAGAGGCGCGTCGACACTGCACCCATCGGTCGGAAGACGTAGGCAGAGGCATGGGGCAGGAAGGCACTGAAAGCAGGTTGGGTTCCGTCCGCCCCCCCCGAAGAGGACGGCAAAGGCGAAGCCTCTCGGCCACCGAAGTGGGGAGGCGCTCGAAGCAAATTGGAATCTGGGCATCCCAGCGTGCCTACTTTCAACGACCGATGGGCATGGTTTCCCGAGCGGTGTGGCCAGAAAAAGCGCCGGCCACGAGGCATATACTATTAAAAGAGTTCTCGGTGCGTTCGTCCCCCCCAGGGGAGGGGGGGGGGGCGACGCACACGCAGTATTGGTGCGTCGGGGCGGCGCCGATCGCCTCACAGGAAGATGGCGTCCCCGCCGTCCCTGAGCACCTTCACGACGGCGGGGAACGCGAACCACTCGGGGATCTCGTCGCCCGACCTCACGGGCGACGCACGCATCCGCATCCGCGCCCCCGCGGTCCGCATGCCGGGGGGGGGGGGGGCGGTCCCGCGGAGACGCGGCCCGCACGGATGGTTGCGTTCCGCGCAAGGGGGGGGGCCTCCGCGGCAGCACGCCCCGCGTCCGCGGGGCTACGATGTGCCAACCTACTGCAGCCTTGGTCACGAGAACTCGAGCCCCCCCAAAACAACACCGAGACTCAACGGTTTTTACGTGTCGGGCCATGGGAGACGCTCGCCCGACACTGCTTCGACACTGTTTCGATGCCATTCCGGGCGCTCGAAATGATGTCTGGGATGTGGTCCTTGAGTACGACGGGGGCAGCATCCGCCCAGGGGCCCAGCCCGCGAGGCCACGGATGCGGCCACGTGCTCCTCGCCCATGACCACCAGGCTGGCTCGGCGGCGAGCAAGGGGGGGCAGCGAGCGGGCGAAGGCCCTCTCAGAAGGCGGCGGGCCTTCTCGGAGCCCTCTGGCCCCCCGAGAGGTCTTCTGCGCCCTCGGAGGAGGCCTGCCACCCCCGCCAAAACTAACTTCACAAGCGCCGCGCCGCCCAATGCTGACGAGCGGACAGATGGCGCGGCGCTGGGCCGCTGCGTCTCAGCATTGGAGGGCCGCGACTTCTCCGAGAGGGGTCCAGCCGCGCCAACTTTACGCTAGTCACAGCGTCGGACTTCCCTGAGGGGGGTCCAGCCGCGCCAGGTTCACATTCGCCACAGCTTCCACATCTATGAAGTTCATACTGGCGGGGGCTGTAGGGAACTTCTCAGAAGGCCAGGAGACGTCCGAGCCTTCTGAGGAGGCCCGCCCCTTCGCACTTCCCCCCGGGGCTCGGCGCCGACTGGAGGGAGAAGCAAAGGTGTACGGTGTACGGTCGGGAACTTTCGACTACACGCGAGAGCGACCCTAAGCAACAGTCTCGCCATCGCTCGGACGTCCATTCCCTGTGTTTTTGTTCGGTTTCGTGCGTGGTTTTTTCGCCAAATGATCAAAGATGCTCGTTGATGGCCCTCGTCGAAGAAAAAATGCACACGTCTGAGCGATGCCAAGCAGTGGCCGTTGGTGCGCGGCTTTAGGGGGCCGAGGGTAAGGCCAAATCCAAGTGCGCAGGCCGGGTGCCTGGCGGTACCCGTGTGGGCCCGCACCCAAAGGTCACTCCGGTGAAGAGTCACTCTTTAGAGGCTAGGAAAAAGGGCACCAACACCAACACAGGGAGTTGCCTCCACAGGGGGAAGGTGATCCTAGATTTCGGTGTTGGTGGTAATATTTCGGTCACCTTGGAAGCCAGAATATTACCACCATCACCGAGATCGGGATCTCCTTCCCTCGGAGAAGGCACACCGCCGATCTTGGTGTTGGTGTCAACCTCTGGGCCTGCGAACTCTTACATGTGGCCGGAACTTTTGATAGCGTGCCGCGGCGGCGGTTCTGGCGACACGCTATGCCTTGCGAGGTGATTGCATGTCGCCCCGCTCCGCGGGGCGGGAGGCTGTGGAAAGCTCGGGCCGTTGGCGTTTGGTACCTGCGTGGATAGCGTGTCGCGCCAAAGCGTGGTGAGCCAAAACCAGCGGCGCGACACGCTAGGCCAAAGTGCCCGACCGTAAACACAAACGTTCGGAGGTCCGCGCAGAGTTCTTGGATCGGAGCCAGATCCGCCTCCCCTCCCTGGCGCGCGGGGTGCACCAGGGGCGGCGGCGCCAGGGTGTAACAGCGCCGATTCGAGAAATCCATTCGGACCTCCGAAAGCTGATGCTACGTGTGTTCATGTAAGTATTTATCATTCGCCGACCGCAGGCGCTTGCGGAACTCGGTGCCGGAGAGCTTTGCGATCTTGAGACCCTTGCTCTTGGCCTCGGACTCCGTAGCGTAGCCGCGCGCGTTGCCGTTCTCCTCGCCGACGTAGACCATATTCTCGTAACTCACGACCTTCATGAAGAGCTCGTCCTGGTGCTTCTTGCCCTTCTCCTGGGCCTCGAACGCCCCGTAGAAGTCGTTGGACGTCAGAGTGCTCTTGGTGCCCGCCATGTCGCGGCCGATGATGAAGTGAGTCGCGCCGAAGTTCTTGCGGATGATCATGTGCTGAATCGCCTCGCGAGGCCCGGCCATCTTCATCGAGTAGGGCAGATACGACCACCTCCACTTGTCCCCCGCCCACTTCTTGTAAAAGGGCTCCTCCTGCATCACCTCGTACGTCTTGATGCGGGCGGCGCCGTCGATGTCCCCCGGCTGCGTGGGCCCGCACGTCGGGTGCACGAACAGCACGGAGTCCTTCACGTCCTCCTGCGCGGCCACGAGGAGCTCGAAGTGGGCCTTGTGCACCGGGTTGCGGTTCTGGAAGGCCACCACGGGCTTCCCGGCTGGAAGCGTTGCCCGCACCGCCGCTGGGCTCTTGAAGCCGGGGCCCCAGATCCCCTCGAAGTTGTCAACGAGCCCGTAGACCTCGCCAGCGGCGTAGTACTTGCCAAGGGTCTCGAAGAGCTCCTGCACGGTCGGGTGCTCGGTTGAGCTGGTCCCATAGCACTCCGCGGCCTCCTTGACCTTGTTAGGCTTGTACACGTCCGATACACTCATCACTGCCATTCCAGTCCCCTTGTACTTCAGCAAGACCTTCTTGCCCTTGAAGGTGGTATCCGGTACATCCAGCACGACTGGCATACCAAACAGTACGCCTGCAGTCGTCTTCATGTCGCTAACCACGCCGTTGTAGTCAGCCTCACTCATGAAGCCTGTTAACGGCGAGAAGCCACCCGTGATCAGCAGAGCCACGTCGCATGCTTGCCGCTCTGACAGCTCCATGATGGTCGTGGCTTCCTTCTCGAGGGAAGCGCGCTTTGCATCCTCTTTGACGTACGTGCTCACGAGAACGCCCTTGTGAGGCTTGCCAGGCCCCTCGCAAACGCCAGTCTTGGCGTCGCAGACCTCGTCTCCCTGAGCCCAGGCAGCCATCCAGGCGCTCGCCAGTATCACAAATTGCAGCATGGCGGTGGAAGCACGGCGCAGGGAATGCGCGCTTGAGCCAAAATGGCTCAAGCCAAAATGGTCACGGTTTTTCCGTCATTGTAATGAAACTGCATCCGAAGCCATTTCGGGCAATTTCTGGTACCTTTTTGGTGACCGCGTTCACGTGTTGCCACTTCGTGGGTTGTGCTGTTCACAAGGGGTATCAGGCGGAAGGCTCTTGCGGCTGGAGGCACGTGAACCAAGGATACGGTTCCAGGTCCGCGACTATCCCGGCCCCTCCTCCCGCTCCACGAGCTTGTTCTCCTCCGCCTCCTCTGGGGAAACCAAAAGGTACCCGTGCTGCTACTCCCCGAACCTCTCCAGGGGTGCGCTCTGACCAAAACTTCGATGCGAATCCAGCGGTGGCGACAAGGGCTTCCCAGGCAGCCCACAACGGGGAAATCGAGGGAAGCGTAGCGGTATGGGTACCTTTTCCTCTTCTGATCCTCCCCTTGTACCTCCGCAACGCATTCGGCGACCAGAGACAGGGCACGAACAACTCGGCGACTGGGTCGCAGCTCCCGCCTCTCTCCACGGGGCTGGCGCTTCACCCCGAGCAGTTTCTCTACGGACGGCCCACAGGCTGCTTCGGGAGGGTAAGAGAACGAAGAGAAAACGGTCATTCTGGATGTTTCTCCGACGCCAGGATCTATAAGCTCGAGCCCCTTTCCGCCGGCGCGCCAAGGGGGAAGCGAGAGGGAGAAGGCCTTCTCAGAAGGCGGCGGGGCTTCTCAGAAGGCCCCCGCCTTCTCATACAGATTCTTTGTCTTCGGGGGAAGACTTCGAAAACTTCTCAAAAACCCTGGAGGACTTCCGAGCTTTCTGAGAGGGCCCGCCCACCTCACTTCCCCCCCAGGCTCGCCGCCGACCTTTAGCAGTTGGTTCATGTCGCGGCCTCCTTCTGCGAGATCGCCCTGTTCTGCCACTTGGTGCCGCTCCTTGGTGATCTTGATGCGCTGGACACCTGGCTGCCACGTCTACCTTTTCCTGCTCCCCCGCCTATTCATCTCATTCTCTTCATCCCCCTCCTCCTTCTCCGTCCGTCCGCTTTCCGCAAAATGTATCCTTCCGTCGCACCCCCCCCCCACACATGTCGAAGGGCGGGCCAGGCGTTTCGCATGAGACTCCCCCACACCTCGTCATCCTGAAGCTCGAAACCTGCAACCGTTACGCGGGTGGAGGGGGTCCTTCTCAACATAGACTCGCCGTAGCGCTTAGCGCCACGCACTTTCGTCTCAAATGCTTGCTCCATCTGCAAGGACTGAGAAAGACCGGTGCTCAAGCAGGCGCGCTCGCCGCACACCGTCGCCTGCAAAAGCGCGCAGCAACTACAGGGACGGAGAGCGGCGCCTTTTTTGAACATGGGGTTCTCACCCGAACGCTGCGCGCATTCGTCTGGAAAGCCTGGAACGGTTACAGGAATGGGGCGCGGGCCGTTTCCAAGATAAGACGATCTTCCTAGCAGCGCGCAAATTCGGCACGAAGTTTTGCAGCAGCGAGAACGGAGGGCAGTTCGTTTTCGAAATAGGGCTCTCGCCTGAGCATAGTGCACGTACATCAAGGTACGTGTGAAACACCTACTCAGATTGAGGATAGCTCCTCTTCCAAAAGGGACCTTCCCTTAATCATGGTCATCAAACTTAACCGCCTGAAACTTGCACATTGAATCACCTATATGTGACAGCTGTTCGGATAGAGGGCGTTCCTTCAACTGTAACGGCCCAGAATGTAAGCCTGTACAGCTGCCCAGAGAGGTGAAATTCATGGATTACCCATGGGTTGTTGAAGGAGTGTGACGCTCTCGCTTGTTCGGCCTTGAGAGCCCAAGAGGCCCCGAATATCGCCCCAGGACGACTTGACAGGCCACAGGAAAGCCAAATGACGGTCCAAGAGGGCCCCAAGACGGCCCAGGGGCCCCCCAAGATGCCCCAAGAGGCCCCCAAGACGGCGCCAAGAGGGGCCCGAGAGCAGGAGCACTGGGGCCAAGACGACCCCAGAGACCGCCAAGAAGCGCCAAAAGGGAAGCCTCAAAAGGCCCCCAAGAGGCCCCCAGGAGGCCCCCAAGAGGCCCCAAGAGGCCCAGCAAAAGCCCACAAGAGGCCTCCAAGAGGCCCCCAAGAAGCCGCCAAGAAGCCCCCAAGGGGCCGCCAAGAAGCCCCCACGACACATCTAAGAGGGAGACACCCCATGAGGCGCCCGAGAGAGCCTCTGACACACAACCCAGGAACGAGGGATCGACACTTGACGGAATGCAAGTGATACCAAGTGGGTACCACTTCGAGTAGATGTCATATAGCTTGCATCCAAGAGGTACGCATCCCCAGAAGCTTCCGAGGGGCAGGCACGGTGGCGGGATTGGCCGAGGGCCACTGGATCCGCCGCCCCCAGTTGATTGATCAAAAGGGGCGCATGGCGTGCCAAACGTCTGGTGTTGGAGGCCTGGAAATGGGCACCAACACCAAGACAAGGGGGCTGCCTCTACAGGGGGGAGATGATCCTAGATTTCGATGTTGGTGGTGATATTTCGGCCACCTTGGAAGCCAAAATATTACCACCATCACCGAGATCGGGATCTTTCTTCCCTCCGTGGAGGAACAGCGCCGATATTGGTGTTGGTGTCAATCTCTAGGCCTGCGATGGTGGTCCTTGGTTCTGTTCTGATCTCCCCGTGGGGTCTCGGCCCAGCGCGCCGGCCACTCGGAAAGCCCATCCAACACACGCCTCGCGTCTTCAGATGGCCTCAACATGGCCGACTCCGACGGCGTCAGAGACGGACTCAGAACGCCGTAAGACAGCCAAAGAGGCCCCCAAGACGCCTCCAAATGCGCCCGAGAGGCCCAAGGAGGCCCCCAAGAGGCCCCCAACAGGCCCCCAAGAGGCCCCCAAATGCGCCCAGGAGGCCCCAAGAATGATTCTTGCCTCCTGAGAGGTCTCCTCATCCTTCTCCTCATCTTCCTTTTCCCTCCCTCTCATCATCCTTCTCTGCCTCCCCCACGAGTTCTCCGAAGGGTTTTCACAACGGCTGGGAGAACGCATGATCCAATAGCGTTGCCAAACTTTGCCCAAACGTTTGGCCACATAGGCGTATTCTAAAGGCACGGGGCGGCGGTGGTTCGCCGCAGGCGTCTACGATTAAGAATGAAATATTTGTCCGAGCAACCGCAGAATAGGATCAGCTGATGAGCTAATCCGACGCCGTTATGCCGGTCATTCCACGTCAACGAAGCCGGGAGCAACGCGTTGCTTTGCTCACTCGCGCGCACAGCTCGCTAATTGGCTTTCCTATGTGGTGGAGAGCGGAAGCAGGGCGTCCGTCAAAGACGGGGGCGGAGGAGGAAGAGGCGGAAGAGGAGGAGGCGGAGGAGGTGGAGGAGGAGGAGGCGGAGGAGGAGGCGGAGGAGGAGGAGGAGAAGGCGGAGAAGGAGGAGGAGGAGGCGGAGGAGGAGAACGAGGCGGAGGAGGGAGAGGAGGAAGAAGATAACGAGAAAGAGGAGGATAAGGGAATGAGGAAAATGATGGGATGGAGGAAATGTATTCGAACGGAAATAATGATCGCAAACTCGCTTCCACTGCGAAACCATATGACCCAAGCCGGCTATGGAACAAAACGCCAATGCGAGTCGAAACGACTGTGGCCAACATAGGCCTGCATACAAGCATTAGGCCTCAAAGTACATAAATAACAGCCCCCAAGGAAAAACTTTGGCCAAGGCGTGCACAGATTCGCTACCATGCGAAATAAACTAACATATCGATCAAGCAGATCTGCCAGCATGCGAAAAAAAAAGTCTGATATGGATAACCGCCAAAATGTGCGAAGTAAAATATGAAACAAAATTGACATGAAGTGGCAGCAGCTGTCTATACCGAAAACTTCGTGGGAGTAACAGCACATCCTCTCGACTGGCGGTTGAACTGCTCTCGCTTGTGCGGTCGCTGCACAAATCCACGTTTAGCCTTCTCGGCAACCCGCTTCTGCAACTCACCCTCTTCATCAGATACACGGTATCGCCCTGTACAGATCAATCTTCCTAAACCTGCAGACTTGGGCGATCTCTTTGTAAAAGCATATGCCGGCACACAGTTGTGCTGAACCCATCTGGCCCTGCAACCAAGAGCACGCACTGACTGCCTGCAAGCACACAGCTCGAGCGCAACCCTACGATCATTGCCTCATGTCGTCTCCTTCGCCAGATTGTCAAACATCGATTTGGCGCCAACAACACTCACAATACTCGGATCCACTGAAATCGCGCTTTCACTCTTGAGCACTGCAACTGCTGGATCCTCACGTTCTGGAATCGAAGTCCTTCGCCTCGAAACTGCACCAAAATCGCTCCACATCGTCTCCTGACATAGAAAACATACCCATTCTGCTTCGGCCAGCGCATCACTGAAACTAAAACTCTTTGCCGCCACGGCGCTGCCCACGACGCGCTTGATCTTGTGACTCGCCCGGCTGATGATGCTGAACGGTGCCTCCTCATTATCATTGAACGCCTTCGTAGTAATGCCCTCTAGGAGTCCGCCCTGCGAAGCTCCCGTCTCCTTGTCCGCGTCGAAACTGCCGTTGCTGACACTGGCGACTTTGGCCGCGTCCGGCGGGCACTGGCACGACGCGCGGACCAAAAGCTGCATCTGCCTTGAGACGTCGAACTGCGGAGTTGGCGTCGGAAATATCCTTTCATCACGGCACTGCAAAATGCACTCTGTAACAGCGAAGCAGTTGGAGCCTCGTCCGGCCTCGCCTGCCTGGCAACCCAACCAATTCCACCAACGTCTGCGCGAAATTAACCACTCTCTCCATCTGATGGCTCAGCTTTTGGGTCTGCATGTCGCCCTCGCCTGCGCTCGACCGGGTTGAGTTTCTGGTTGATATAGCGCCCCATGTCGATACTGAAACCGAAATCCTTCTCTTGCGAAAAACGCCTGCCGACGAACGAATGTGGTCCATCTCGGTATATGTTGTGCCAGTGACCAAGCTCGATCATGCCCTTAAGCTGGCTCATCTTGTTGATGTGCTTCTCGTTGCCTCCA